CTTCTTAGAATTATACTACATCTTACTCAATCCTTCAGGTCTTTTTAAAAAATATATTTTTATTAATTTCAGAGAGAAAGGGAGATGGGGAGAGGGAGAGGAAGGGAGGGAGGAAGCGAGGGGGGGGGAGAGAGAGAAACATCAATGATGAGAGAGAATCATTAATGGCTGCCTCCTGCACGCCCCACATTAGAGATCGAGCCCACAACCCATGTATATGCCCTGACCATGACCTCCTAGTTCATAGGTTGACATTCAACCAGTAAGCCAGGCAATTCAGGTCTTTTAGAAAGTACTTTATAATGAAAAACTTCAACAGCAAAACAAATATTATAATAAACCCCATGTAACCACCAGCTTCAAAGTTATCAACATTTTTTCCAATTTTGTTTTGTTACTATCTCCAAATACCACCCCCAAACACATTTGTTTTTCTTCTAGAGCATTTTAAAGCAAATCCCAGAGAGCTATATTTCAATAGTAAATAATCAATATATAACTCTAAAATATAAGTACATTTAAAATCTGTAATTTCTCCTTCTCCCCTCCTTCATTTTTACCAAGTTATTCATTGGTTAAGTAAATTGTATCATTTGTCCCCTGGTGGTCAGTGCATGTCATAGCGAATAGTCAATTGGTCAACTCTATGCCCCTGGTAGTTCGTGAACGTCATAGTGAGTGGTTGAGCATAATCATTAGCATATTATGCTTTGACTGGTTGAATGGATGACCGAATAACCAGACACTTAGCATATTAGGCTTTTATTATCTAGGATGCTGTTTAGTCTCTGTAGGCAGTTACCATTCAGTGCAGTTTGGCCCTTTGCCATACAAAAAAACTGTGGCACTACAGGGTTTTGCTCAGTGCATTGGCCTGCAGACTGAAGGGTCCTGGGTTTGATTCCAGTCAAGGGCACATACCCTGGTTGCAGGCTCAATCCCGGCATGTGTGGGAGGCAACCACTTGATGTGTTTTTCTCACATTGATGTTTCTCTCTCTGTCTTTCCCCCTCCTTTCCGCTCCCTCTCTCCCTCCCATCCACTTGCTCTAAAAATCAATGAAAAAATATCCTTGGGTAAGAATTAAAAAAACAAACAAACTGTGGTGTAATATCCTTTTATTATTTGACTACAATTTTAGTCTGATTTTTTAAAAGCTTTATTTGAACTATTGTCTCCTTTTTAATTTACAAATAAGGAAAACAATTGGCCAGGAAGCATATCTTTTAGGCATTAAACTGTTTAATAATTTTAATAAAAATGTTTTGATGTAAACACACCTTCCTGTTTTCCTAAACAGAATATTGTATACAAAACATATACACCATGGCTGGTGCTGTTAAGTGGTTAGAGCATCAACCTGCATACCAAAGGGTTGGAGGTTCGATTCTGGATCAAGGGCACATACCTGGATTGGGGGTCTGTATCCTGACCCCGGTTCAGGCAAGAGTGTGAGAGGCAGCTAGTAGCAACTAGTTCAATGTGTCTCTCTCACAGTTTTTTTTTTTTTTCTTTTTTCTCTTTTTCCCCCTCCTTTCTTTCTTTCCATTCTCTCTGAAATGCAATGGGAAAAAGTATCCTCATATGAGGATTAACAAAAACAAAACAACAACCACAAAATAGTACCACTCTTTCATGCTGACTCAGGGTTGCCAAAATAGTCAATTATTTCTCTGTGCTTTAATACGGCAAAGTCTTCAGGAATACATTCCAGTCTACTGTGGGAATACATGTGTATACACACACACACACACACACACACACACACACACACACACACAGAGGAATATATATATCTATGATGAATAAGCCCCATACTTCTCACCTGCCATTTATCATTTTTATTACTGTTATTATGCCATTGATCTTATCTTCTTCCTTATCTCATACATAATTATATAGTTAGTTTCCAATTTCTTTTTCTTTTTTTCAGTTTGGCAATGGTCCATTTTTTTTCCAAATGAAATGTTACATGAATTCCAATATATAAATGAGTGTGGATTTGTGCTATAAAAGTGGAATAGGGGGTTTAGTACCCTGCTGCTAAAGCCTCCATACCTGGTCTCCAGTGCTGAATACCAAGGATCTCATGAAAACCCAGGTCACTACCAAGTAGTTTAATATCCCTGATCAAACCTAAGAGTGGCTTCCTCTCATAAAAGATAAACATTTTTTAAGGTAATGTAATCTTGCATTTTGTATGGAAGGCAACAATAACAAAAAAGGATGCATGTTCTCAGTACAACAAAACCTCTATTAGTATAACAAACAGAAACAGAATTAAAACATGAATGACTGTTCCTACTATTTGTGTCTGAGTAGAATGAAGCATTTTCTAAGAGAAGCATGATAGTACATGTTCAGCCTTTCATATAAACATGACTTATTTCACGAAGTACCTACAATAAAACATCATCCTCAAAATAATGTAAAAAACAGCCATGCTATACTTCACTACAACAATGTTTCTATGAAAAAAGGTATTAAGAGTTCCAACTTAGAACTGGAAATACATCTATAGAGGTAGAATGGTACAATGAGAAAAGTATAGGTGGTTTAGCCTCAAAAGGCTTGAACTTTAATCCTGGCACTGTCACTACTAGTTCTATCACTTAGAGCAAGTTACTTAACTAAGATTTAGTTTCTCATATATAAAAAGAAGTGAGTGATATGTATTTCTCAGGTTGTTCTATCGATCAAATGAGGTAATATAATATTGTCTGCCACAAAACAGACACTATTAAGTTCCTTTCCACTTCCCTACAAAGAGATTAGGAGTTCTTGATTAGCTTCAAACTCTTGATTGGACTCCAAAAAAAGATGGGACAAGTAGATTCGGGGTCACAGGGAACAATAGGTTTAGGTACTTATTCTTGATGATTCGACTGGATAAAGGACCTAACTAGCTCTTGATTCTGACTAGCATCCCTATTATGGTCTCCTCCTTTCCCCACCATGGGTACAGAATTTGGCCATCTCTTTGCTTTACATTTCCACCGCTTGCTACTTTCATGTATTCTCCCAGACCTACCCCTTGCCCTAGACCAGTGGTCGGCAAACTGTGACCCGTGAGCCACATGCGGCTCTTTGGCCCCTTGAGTGTGGCTCTTCAACACAATACCACGTGTGGGTGCACATGTACAGTGCGATTAAAACTTCGTGGCCTATGTGCAGAAGTTGGTTTTCGGCTCTCAAAAGAAATTCAATCATTGCAGTATTGCTAATTGGCTTTGTTGACTAATGAGTTTGCCGGCCACTGCCCTAGACAATTGCAGGACACAATTTAGTTCTAGTTTCTCCCTGTAAAGTTATAGGTAAAAACAAACAAACAAACAAACAAACAAAAACAAAAAACCCTGATATAAAAATAAACACCTAGAGACTGACTTTTGGAATAGCAAGGTAAAGACCTCAGTGAACTCAATCTTCCTCTAAGTTTTAGAGTCTAAAACAATGAAAATACAGGCAAACAAGCTATTTCATTTCATGAAAGCCACTGGCATTTAAAAAAAGCCACTGAATAAAGTAAAAAAGAGAAAACTCTAATGCCCTTGAGAAAAGCAGAAGCCTATGCATCTCAGGAGTAGCAGCACCCAGATATCACACAATTAATAAAAATGCCTGTTCCAATCCTGGCTGGGGGGCCTGCGACCTTCACTTTATCTCTCTGAGTTTGAGTTCATCTTATTTTTCCCTTAACTATTGTGAGAATTACATAATGTAATATGGAACAAAAACAACACCAAAACACCCATAAGTAGATGGGCAAGCTATTTACCCCCAAAACACTTGCTAAATCCAACATTTCTACCTTACATATGGAATCTTACTGTTTGCAAACAAACCATTTAAAAGCTTCAGACTTTGTTCCAATACTGTTACCTTTCCACATAATCATTATGCATTAAAATTTACTTTAAAAATAGTGACAATAAAGCCAAAATTATAAGTTGACATATATCAAAGTGACACTATTGAAATTCTTCAACAAAGCTTTTCTCTACACTGAGCCTTAATCTTTCCAGGATAGTTCTCAAAAGATAACTTCTTCTCCTTCTGTATCAGTGTAAGTTGTCCTTCACACCTAGCTAGGGGTGTTAGGTATCCTTTGTTTAAATCACCAACCACATACCTGTAATGCCTCTGATTTCAAAATAGCTTTTAAAAGCAAAACTTAACCCAAACTATCCAATCCACCCTATATAATAAAAGCGTAGTATACAAATTGTCCCCTTGACAGAGAGTTCGTCCAGGAGTTCAACTAGGATGGGGGAGGGGAGGACAGCAGGACCTGTAAGAGGAAGGGAAGGAAGCCCTGGCTGGCAGTGACAGTAGCAGGCAGCCAGGGGAAGGAAGGGAGTACCCAGCTAGCAGCCCTAGGGACCCTATCAATGCATGAGTTTCATGCACTGGGCCTCTAATATCTATATAAAAGCCTAATCGAACAACCAGAAAGATCAGTTGCTATGATACGCACTGACCACCAGGGAGCAGATGCTCAACACAGGAGCTGCCCCTGGTGGTTAATATGCTCCCACAGGGTGAGTGCTACTCAACCAGAAGCCAGGCTCTTGGCTGGTGAGCACAGTGGTACCTCTGTGGCAGCACTAAAGAGCAGTGAGCCAAGTGGTATGAGCAGGCGTGCGGTAAGGAAAAGGGATTCTGGTCTGTGAGAAGGATGTCCAACTGCTAGCTTACGGGGAGCGGGCCTAAGCCAGCAGGAGGACATCCCCCAAGGGGTTCCAGATTGCAAGAGGGCACAGGCCAGGCTAAGGGACACCCCCCCCCCAAGTGTACGAATTTTGTGCACTGGGCCTTTAGTTATACTATAAAGTTTTCCATATATATATTCCCAGACAATCCTGTTTCAGTATAACAAATTTAGTAGGAGTTTACTTTTAAATCATCAAAAAAGCTAACAATGACTTCCCTTAAGTTTAATTAAATTGCATGGGGGAAAGACCAAATGTTAACACATCTTATTAAGAATAAACCCTTACCTTAGGAGAAGTGGAGAGATCTTTTCCTGCAGAAACAACTGCATTTTCGTTTACTCCTCCCATCTTTGGTGAGACGACTGGTGGGGCTGGGGCTTTTCGTTTCACTCTCTTTTCAGTTTCCAGCTCTTGAATTGGATTTATCAAATTATTTTGAGGAGGTGTTGGTTTAGGTTCATAAAAAGGATTTGATCTAAATGAAAGAAGAATTAATGTTAAATGTCTCTTAAAAAGTATTTTATATCTAACTAAAATAATATGTTCATTTATAAAACTTGAAAATAGTAAGAAAAAAACTCAAACTTCTGATAATCTATAATTTAGAAACAATCACTGTTAATCTTGTGTTTTGTTGAGCATTAACAATAAAATGTTTTGCTCCTAAAAAGCATTTTTAAATTTTTTATATCTCAAGGTGAACTCAGTTCTTATTACATCTAGACCCTTAGGGAAATGTTTTTAATAATAGTAAATCCTACATATTCTCCACATCCAAGGAAAAATACATTAGATGGGAAATAATGATTTGTTTTTTTATACTCCCTATACCAAACATTTTTCCACCTTGTATTTTATCCTTTTTCTCTGTGTTAAATTCCTTTCTTACTAGGGAACATCTTTTACAAGTTCATTCAGTGAGGTTTATTAGTAGTAAATTCTCCTAAGAGTTAAAAATGTCTTTATTTTAACCTGAAATGATAAATTCAATGATAGATTAACTGAGTAGAGAATTGCAATTGTCATTTATTTTATTATTATTTTTAGGACAAATTTTAAAAAATATATTTTATTGATTTTTTACAGAGAGAAAGGGAGAGGGATAGAGAATTAGAAACATCGATGAGAGAGAAACATCGATTAGCTGCCTCCTCCACACCTCCTACTGGGGATGTGCCTGCAACCAAGGTACATGCCCCTGACCAGAATCAAACCTGGGACCTTTCAGTCTGCAGGCCAAAGCTCTTATCCACTGAGCCAAACTGGTTAGGACTCTGTCATTTAAGTAACCTCAGCATTTAAAAAATATTAGCCCACTATCAGCTTATTATTATTCTTTTGTTAAGTCATCTTTTCCCTCTTGCTGTTAACATCTTTTTATTTCTGGTTTTGAGCAATTTTACATGCTATGTCCAGATGTGAATTTTTTTTAACTTTTCCTGTTTCAGACTCTATATTTCCTGAGTCTGAAGAGTCATGTGTTGCCTTATTTATGAAAGATAATAGCCATTATCTCTTTGGTAGCCTCTCATTTTTTATATTCTCTTTAGAAAATCTTATTAGATATACTGAACTATCTCCTTCATATTTTTACAAATTTTTGTTCCTCCTGTGCAACTACATTCTGGATAATCCCTTTACATCTATAATCAAGTTAACTTTTTCTCTCTTCATCTGTGTTTAATATAATGTAATTTCATGAATTTTTAACTTTCCTAAGCTTATTATGGATGTGTGTATAATACCTCAGGTACCAAGATTTGAGTCATTATTAATTTAAAACATATTTAAGTGTCTATCTGATAAATTTATTATTTGAAGTTCTTACATATATAATCCTGATGTTTCTTTTGTCTCCTATTTCTCTTAGTCAACTATTTCCCTGTATGTTTTGTAATTCTAGATTGTGAGTTCAGAACTTAATTTGAGGAAATACTTTGTAATCTGAGTTGGGAGTGGATCTCTTCAGAGTGTTTTAGTCTTGATGTACTTGCATTGCCAAGTACGTTAGGAGGCACTTTATATGTTACTTTCTTGGCTTGGTGGTTCCCAGACAATCCTGTCAATAAATCAAATCCACATGAGAGTGGGCCTAGCTTATAACTTCTCAGGGAAAATTCCCTGCACCCCCTCTACCCCACTCTATCTAGAGTCTAGGCCCTCCCAGAAAATCTTCCTTAACTCCCTTTCTCATAGTTATTCATAAACACAACTATCAGGTAATAGGAGTTTCCCTCCTATTACACAGCAATAAAGTGTTTTTCTGGTTTTTATTTTTTAGTTTGTTGCTTTTTTTTTTTTTTTTTTTTTTTTTTCATTAACAGTCCCCTCGAGTCTAATATCCTGCATGAATAGAAACAACAAAATTTCTGAGTTTAAAAATCTAAGCACCAGGCCAAACAAACACAGTGATTTTACTAAGGGAATTCCTACTGGGCATACTATTAGAATCAAGCCTAAATAGGCAGTCAAACATCCCTCTCACACTCCAGGACTGCTGGCTCCCAATTGCTCACCTGCCTGCCTGCCTGCCTGATTGCCCCTAACTACTTCTGCCTGTCAGCCTGATCACCCCATAACCACTCCCCTGACGGCCTGATTGCCCCTAACTTCCCTCCCCTATCAGCCTGGTCGCCCGCAACTGCCCTTTCTTGCTGGCCCGGTAATCCCTAACTTCCCTCCCTTGCCAGCCTGGTCACCCCCAACTTCCCTCTCCTGCATGCCTGGTTACCCCCAACTGCCCTCCCCTGCAGGCCTGGTTCCCCACAACTCCCCTCCCCTGCAGGTTTGGTCCCCCCCCAACTGTAATCCCCTGCAAGTCTGGGTCCCCCAACTGTCCTACCCTGTAGGTGTGCCCTCCTCAGCTGGCCTGGTCACCCCTAACTGCTCTCTCCTATAGGCCTGGCCCTCCAACTGCCCTCTCTTGTAGGCCTGTTCCCCCCCCAACTACCCTCCACTGCAGGCCTGGGTCCCCCCAACTGTCCTACCCTGCAGGCATGGTATCCCCAACTGCCCTCCACAGCCAGTCTGGTCACCCCTAACTGCTCTTTCCTGCAGGCCTGGTTGCTCCCAATTACCCTCCCCTGCAGACCTGGTCCTCCCCAACTGCCCTCCCTTATAGGTCTGGTCACTCCTAACTGCCCTCCCTTGCAGACCTGGTCCCTCCCAACTGCCCTTCCCTGCTGGCTGGTCTCCCCCAACTGCCCTCCTCTGCTGGCCCAACCACCTCTAACCGCCCTCCCCTGCTGGCCATCTTTGTGGGGCCATCTTATGTCCACATGGGGGGAGCCATCTTTGACCACACAGGGGTAGCCATCTTGGGTCTTGGAGTGATGGTCAATTTTGCATATTACTCTTTTATTAGATAGGGTTGGTTATGTAAAATTGGTTGGTTTAAGAAAAACAAAAACAAACAAACCTCAAAAGTGTTAGAGGATAGATCTTTACATTACAAAAGGTTTTGTGTCTAGAAAAAATTATTTAAATTGGCAATTCTATCTGAATTTACAATACTCAGTTGCATGCAACTTTTATAAAACATCTAGTATGTACACAAAGGTATCTAAATATTGTCTTTTTTATTCATGTCTCTCTGCTTGCTTCTAACCACGTAGGTCTCCTGCTATTGAATATTTGTATTATTTGTATTGAGAAGGTAAATACAAGTAGAAAAGAAGCTCAGACTGATTTTCAAAGTTGGCTCCTGAGGCTCATATTACTAGAAACATAGTCAAATGGACATTTTCTCAAAAACAATTAGAGCTATGCTTCTCAATCTGTTTTAACTATACTATTTAGTGAAAAATAAAATCTGTATGACATGCTAGAGGAAACATAGAAGGCTGCTGAAAAATTGAGTTACCAGGGACTCCAGCTGCCCTGGAATATGCATGACCACTAGGAGATCTAAGGGAGTCAGTATCTCTATACACTTAAGATCCACCTGTTAATGAACAGTGTGCTAGGCACCACCACTGATTATGTACTAAATCAGAAAAAGTACAAGAAACTGCTAAGGATTTTGAATGAACCTCCTTGTAAATCAGAGATTCCTAAATAAAACTGAATTTCCTACTTTTGAAGAATGAATAAGATATATTTACATTTATATGAATTGTCCAGAATAGTCAAATCCACATGGAAAGGAGATTTAGTGATTTTCAGGAGATGGAAGAAGGGAGAAACTGAGACTAACTACTAATAGGTACGGGATTCCTTTCTTGAGATAACAAAAACACTCTGAAATTACATAGTTGTGATGATTTCATAACACAGTGAATAAACTAAAAATCATTGAAGTATATACTTTAAAATGTGGAATTTTATGTTATGTAATATATATCTCAATAAAAGTACCATAAAAAGTGAATAAGAATAATATATATGTGAAACTGCTCCATTCTTTATAATAACAAGTTATATAACTGCTGATTAAAGTATTTTAAAATGTTTAAATAATACTTTTAGTAAGAAAGTTATTTAAGGAATTAGCATAATTTTCACATTCTGTTGATCATCTAGGATTTGAATAATCAATTTCAGGGCTTCCTGCATCACTCTAAGTAAAAAAGAATTACTTTTATCCTTGCATAATAGATTAGTTATATCATTACCTCATTGTGAATGAAAAATGCATCAATTATATTGAGTGGAAAATAAGACAGGATAGTTTTAAATAACATTACTCATTGTTTAGACAATAATTCACCCAGAAAAAAAATTATAGAAAGAAAAACTATAAGTTTATTAGAAATAAGATTAATAAACATACTGAGAAAAAATATGAAGCAAAGGTATACCAAAACTTAGTTTTTTTCTGTCACTTTGAAAATTTCTGTTTCTTTGGGAAAACAATCCAAATTTATTAAAATGAGTGTGTAGCCTATTTGAATCCAATGACAATTGTCCTTGAAATACTGACACACAATACAGAAATAATTCATGCTGGGAACAAAAATCTACACTAATAAAAGAGTAAGATGCAAACTGACCATACCCTCACTATGCCCACCAGCCAAACAGGAGTATGCAAATTAACCCAACAAAGATGGTGGGTTAATTTGCATACTCAGGTGACAAACAGCTGGGGGCAGGATGCAGGTGTTCTGCACTACCCCTGCCACTCCGGGCCTCTAGACAGTGTGGGAAGGCAGAAAGGTGGCTTTGGCCAGAGCAAAGGCTGTACTGGCAGCCTGGGGAAGAAAGGACCATTCTTGCACAAATCTTTGTGCATCGGGCCTCTAGTCACTTCATAAATGTTTTAAAAAATTATTGCTTTATCAATTTTCATTTTTGCCACATAAACTAGAATGGCTGGACTAACTTTCAAACATGAGGAAACTAAGTAATCCACATGGTTGCTAAGTGTAAAGTGCATGCACTAAAAGCACTGAAGGGTATATACTTTCTCTTGATGCTGATGGATATGCTAGGTTTTGAAGATTATTTACACATCAAAGGACTCAGCACTACTTA